TGGTGTGTAAAACAGACGGCAGCAACAACTAGTTTAATTAGTACTTATACTATGCTAACTAGGCTATATTCAGGGCTTCGTCTTCATAGTTAGCAAACAAAATTTAACGTGGTATTTGGATTTTTTAATCAAAATTGAATAAGGAAGATCTATCTTCTCAAAATCCTTATGGTAATACTGGTTATTTTCCATCTTCAACTAATTCAAATTCACCAGTCTTATCCATCAATCGTCCTACCCGCATCTTCAAGCCAGTCAACCCAGTCCCTGTTCTTTAGAATCATTATTTAAACTCCTTCCCATCACCTCCTCATCCGGGTTATTCGGTCTACTTAAAGGTATCTGTTCACTCAGCTCTCTAGTTTAAGTTCAGCTGGCATCTCATCAACACAATATATAGGCACTGTGGATGAGCATTGAGGCATTGATTACATGATTTATCCAAAATAATAGCTTAGATCAGCTTGTATAGATTGGCTATAGGGTGTAACCCTTCATTTTTCTAAGCAAGTCCCCAAAATTGCCCAGTATAATCCAGCAAACATAGACAGCAGGTAGACCAGTCAGAATGTAAACATTCTGGTCTTGTATCATCCTCCAATCACTAAAGGCTTCAGCTTTCAGCAGGTCTGCATCGTCACCTGCAGTGTGTGTGCTCAGACAGCACTCACTGAAGGGACAACCACTGTCACTTTAGTGTAACAGAGCTTAGATAGCAGAAAGGAACAGACATGCATTACCTCCTGCAGATACCTGACTACCAACCCCCCTCCTCCACCCCTTCCTCCTCCTGCAAAAACAGGGGATGCATAGTGGGGGTGAGGGAGGGCTTTTAGATGTTGTGTTGTGATCAATAATACAAATTCCACTACACAATCCGATACTGTAAACGACCTAAAATGCTTACAATCAATGATATTGTTGCTTGCTGGAGATCAATGACATTAGAAAATGTACATACAACATAGAGAAGAAATCACAGTTTTGTTTTCAGTGTGAACGCTGCTGTATGGCATTGGCCTAATGATGCACTGCATGCACACATCATAGCGGCACACACAGTAACGGAGCCTGGTTGGTCAGGGTGCAGGTGAGGATAAACGGTCAGCCCGGGTTTAATTCGCTACTCACCTTTCAGTTGATACCCATATGGAGACTGTGAAGTCCGCCCTGTCGGCCCAGGCTGCTACTGGTAAACACACGGGGAGATGTGAGCACATACTAAGACCAGGTGAGCCCAGAGAAACGTCTGATATCGGTGTCCAGCGAGAAGCCTCCGAGCAGCGTCGGTGGATGTGGTGTCGAGCATCCTGCAGCCTCCTCCGGCTCTGCGTCCTATTGTCTCCGCATCGCTCTGTCCTCTAGGATGGGAGGAGAGGAGAGGCAGGGGAGGAGAGACAAAGCCCTCCCCCTCCTCGCTGGCCCGGCCAATCGCAGCGCTGCTCCGCTGGGAGCCGCCGCTGCTCGCTGTCTCCATACAGACTATGGTACATTCAGGGATAATGGGAAATCCAACTTCTTCCAAATACAGTCAAATAAATAAATATGTTACCAACAGATAGCTTGAACTAGATATTTGCTATTTTTAATAATAGCTAGAAAAAAAACATTATTGTTATATTATTATTATATTTGTTTTTACATCATTTTCTCTGGGACTAATAAAGCATTCTGATTCTGACTCGTAAACGTTGACGTAAACAGACTTTGCTGTGTATGTTTTTATAAAATGTCTTTAGGCGATGTCATTTGAGGCAGTGTTGGTTAGTACAAAGATATATTAAGGCTACTGTGCCAAGAATAAATACATAAATAAATGGAGTGGTCTGTCCCAGCTATCACGGCCGAGAGGCAGGGTACACCCACAAATAAAGACAGACAACAATTCACACTTTATCCTAAACCCACATATGTCTTTGGACTGTGAGCGGAAGCTGGTGTACCGAGAGTGGCCCCACACAACCCCCTATGAATAAGCACTTGGTGACAATGAGAAGGAAAAACTCACTTTTAACAGGAAGCAACCTCCACCAGAACCAGGCTCAGGGCGGGACGGCCTGGTTCTGGGGGAGGGAAGAAGAAAGGACAAAAGACACAAGAGAGCTAGAGATTAATAAAAACTAACAATTAAATACAGCGTGATGTATAAGCACATAGCGAGTGTAAAAAGGGTGAAAAAGAAACATTCAGTGTGTCAAGAGAAACCTCCAGCAGCAAAGAGCTATTGATGTGTAACTAAGGGAGGATTCAAGGTCACCTGATACATCCATAACTGTAAGCTTTATCAAAATGGAAAATTTAAGCCTAATCTTAAAAGTAGGGCGAGGGTGAGAGGGTTCCTGTCTCCTGAATCCAAACTGGGAGCTGGTTTCACAGAAGTGGGGCTTGAGACCACAGGCTCTGCCTCCCATTCTACTTTTAAATACCCTAGGAACCAAAGGTAAGGGAGCAGTCTGAGAGTGAATTGCTCTTCTGGGGTGATATGTTACTGTGAGGTATTAAAGATAGGCCTGGTTATTCAAGACTTTGTATGTGAGGAGAAAGATTGTAAAATTATTACATTTAAATCACTTAGAGACAGAATGTTTCTAATTTTAGAGATAGTGTGTATCACACAATGGAAATTTGTATTTGTCTTTTATAACTGGTATTATTTGATTTTATTTGGATTATATTGGACGTTTTTAGTGTTTTTGTATGATATTTTTATTAAATCCACTGCAGCCTACTAGCTGTCAATTGGACTTGATAAAGAAGAGGGTAGGCCCAGATATGAAAAGGAAGGAATGCGTGAAAGCCAAGCGTGTGAAGGAAGGACCTGTCGCCCGATTGTCAGGTGAGACGTCGCCCGATTGTCAGGTGAGGGTCCTGCTGTCAGGACTGGGTCGGCTCGTGTGAGGATGCCGACCCAGTCCTGACAGCAGAAACGGCGACAGTGGGAAATAACGCATGTGATCGACAGCAGGGCAGAGGTGCACAGCTCGAGGGTGGAGCGCAAGCTGAGCTGTGAATGGACGAGCCCGGTGAAGGGACGAGACGCAGATGGGAGGTTTCTCCTTGTCCTCCTGGGACCAGGTTGGCGTGGTCCCTGCTCCGAAGAGAAATTGCTCAGCTGTTTTCAAACACGAGGAACATTCACCCTTCCCACACTTTGTAGGACAATACATCGTGGGACTGTGGGGGATTTTAGTGCACAAAAAACTGTCTCACATAAAGACATCCCCAGGAAAGGAAGACCACGAGTCACCTCTGCTGTTGATCCGACTCATCCAAGTCACCAACCTCAGAAATTGCAAGTCAGAGACCAGATAAATGGCGCACAGAGTTCCAGTAGCAGACACATCTTTACATCAACTGTTCAGAGGAGACCGCATGAATCAGATCTTTATGGTCATATAGCTGCTAAGAAACCACTACTGCTTGTTGCTAAGGAAAAGCAACAAGCAAACAGATTTGTTTGGGCCAAGAAACATAAGGAATGGAGATTAGACAAGTGGAAATCTGTGCTTTGGTCTGATGAATCCAAATTTGAGATCGTCGGTTCCACCCGCCGTGTCTTTGTGCGACACAGAAAAGGTGACCGGATGGTCTCTACATACATGGTTCCCACCGTGAAGCATGGAGGATGAGGTGTGATGGTGTGGGGGTGCTTTGGTGGTGACACTGTTGGGGATTTATTCACCACTGTGGTGTGCAAGATGGCCTGGCCTCCAGAGTCACCTGACCTAAACCCAGTCGAGATGGCTTGGGGTGAAGAGAGAAGGCAAAAGGGCCAACAAGTCCTCAGCATCTCTGGGAACTCCTTCAGGACTAATGGGAAACCATTTTAGGTGACGACCTCATGAAGCTCATTGAGAGAATCTCAAAAGTGTGCAAAGCAGTAATCAAAGCAAAGAGCGGCTAAGAGTCTAAAATATAAAATTTTGCATTATTCCATATGTGTTTGTTTGTGGTTTTGATGCCTTTAGTGAAAATCTACAATGTAAATAGACATGAAAATAAAGAAAAAACTTAAATGAGAAGGTTTGTGCAACTTTTGACTGGTAGTGTAGATCCAGGAAATTATAGGTCATCCAGGTCTTTAGTGTCTCATTCCTGCAGTTTAATTAATTGTGTCATCTGGCTTCATGGGTATAGCTGGGCATCATCTGCATAGCAGTGAAAATGTATGAAATGTCTTCAAAGGATACTGCCTAGATAGAAAAACAGAAAGGCTTGTTTCTATTGTGAGACTTGAAAGGCGACTTCTGTGTGTCCAAAAGTAAAGTGTTAACAACTTTTTATCATTTAACTTAGCAGCTACTGGCATGTCTTCCGTGGCGGAAGCAGAGTCTGGGGACGAAGGGGATGACCCACCAATCTCTGGGGGCGAGGTCACCGAGGCAGTTAAACAACCCCTTGGTGGCAGAGCCCCAAGTTCCTGAAGGCTCTGGATGTTGTAGGGCTGTCTTGGTTGACATGCCTCTACAATGTTGCGTGGAGATCAGGGGCAGTA